ATAGGACATTTCCCATTATACAGACAATTAAATTGATTATACCTGGTTTAACGGTAATACGCGATAAGATTCATGACTTGTCTTTACCGTCCGATTATAACGTGCAACGCGCATATAAAAACGCTCACATTTGTCAGATTCTCTCTTGAAAAAAAAAAAGAGAAAGAGAAAAAGAAAGAGAGAAGAAGAGATAGCGAATTAAGTAAACAAAATAAAAATAAAGACAGATGCACATGCAAAAGAAAGCAGTCTTATTATCGTCTGCTATTATTTTTCATATTTGTATCATATAATATATATATATATATATATATATTTATTATAATATAAATATCAATTGATTATCATGACAAATTATTAACTATAACAAATTCATTTTTCTATTTTTATCTTCATCAGATAATTGTGAAGATTTTACAGGAAAAAAAAAGAATTTTTTTCTTTCCAATGAAAATCTATAGAGATAAATAGGTAAAGGGGGAATAGAGAGGGGAAACGAGAAGCGATCGCGAAATTGGAAAACGATCGGGCGGGGCACGGACCCTCCCTCGTGACACGCGTCTGGACATTCTGGCCGGCGATCTCTTTTTTTTCTCACGAGGCACCAGGTCCAGGACGAAAGGCCGTGACGAACGAGGCGTGAAAGCGACGAGCGAGCTATATGCAAACTGCCACTATATAATATCGCCGTCCGAGATGTGTATATTTGTCCGTCGTCGAGTTTGCTCCCATCGACGATTGCGAAATCAAAGTACAATGGGAACACCACTCCTTGGCAAAAACGCAAATCTAGTACGCAAACACGCTGAGTGTTCCCGAATTTATCTCGATAAATTAAAGAGATGCAAATTTATTAATTATTTCTAGACAATAATCTAACAAAAAATTAATTAGCAAAAATTATTATTTTCATGTTTAATGTTGTTAAATATTACAGTAATTAAGTAATGAACATTCTCTTTAAGGTGGAGATTAATAATAAGATTATTAATGGCAAATTAAGAACGGCTAATGGAAAATTATATGCATTTTCGAGCAGAATGGCAGGCATAAACAAATGGCTCGACGGTATCGCTATTACGAGTGACTGCGAACGACAGCTGCCTAGCGGTAAATAATTAGTTTAAATTCACTTTTCATATTATTAAGTATATATGCGTGGGGTGCTAATAAGTAACTGCTATTAACCGGTTCAGTGAAATTGTACCAGGTAATCGGCATCATTATAGCATGAGTAGTCCAATTAAAGCGATAGTATTTTCTACAACTTTTTACAAAGTTTTATATTCTGTAAAAAAGATTGTTTTAAATTATTTAATAATTCGTGAAGAGAAGAAATAGATTAATAAAAATTATAGAGAGAATTAAGAAATCGCTAAAGATACAATTTTAAATTAAAAAAAAAGGAATTAATTAATTAAAAAAAATTATGGAAAAAATAGGTAATGGCACATATGTAGTGTCGTTATAGGAAGATGATCCTTTACACTCCAGCTGGACCAGCCTGTAAATGTATGCGCGTATTACGGACTTCGCTACAACACGTGCGAGGTCATAAATATTCGACGGGAGAGAGCAGTAAGACTCGGGAAGAAAGAGAAGAAACGGGAAGCTCGTTAAGTCATTAGGTGCCCGTGGTACTTGATCGAAGCCTAATTTTGGGGAGGGCAACCCTCACGAGTTCGTCGGAAGTTGTACAACCGACCTGCTGCACGATTAATTAATCATTAAATTAATATCAAAGTAGTTTCAAGCTGATCGAACGGAGAAAGATTGAAAAAATATAGAAAACTGATTAATAGAACAGGGCAGCAGTGCACAAATTTTGATTGGTGCAAAAAATTAAGCTTGCGATAGATATTATATTGTACGTTAATTATGTAATATAACGAAAGAATTCAATAATAAAATATTTTACATTATATAAACGAATTATATAACAGTTTTTAATATTATATATATGATTAAAATAAAACTGAATAAATTTAAATAATCATAATGATATTTTAACTAAATAATCATTTTTTATATATAATTCATTAATATTTTTACATAATATCTATATAAAATATTTTGATAAAAAAAAAAAAATTAAATTATAATTACAACTTTTAAAATTCACATAAATCCTCACGGATTGTTTTTGAACTATTTTTTGATAATTACGGCAAGCATAGCGTGACGATTCTTGCGAGGCAACACGTGGACGAAATAAAAGAAAAAAAGCCGAGGGTGAATAATGATAGTCTGCAATAAAACACGGAAGGAAACAGTCGTTCCTCGCGTCACGACAGAGCAACAGCTTGGAACTGAGGGCAGTCGGTTAATCGCCCACTTTCATACGTCAAACGGACATAAAAGACAAGCTACCTCCTCCTCTCTCGGATTTATAACTGAACGCCCAGGAAGTTGCGCACAATTATAGGAGATAACAGTAATTTAAAACTTTATTTTGAATGTGAAAAACTATATTTTTAAGTATTGCTCAATATATGTCATCTCAAGAAGGAAATCAGTGCAATTTAATTACTTTTATAGTTCGAGTAATTTCCCAAATTTGCAAATTTATAATTTTTATAATTTTTTTAAATTTTAGAGTTCTCTACGTTTTTATGATTTTCGAATTTTTAAACACTAAAATCTTTTTAAACTTTTATTTTCCAAAAGTTTACTCTCTCAATTTTTTTCCGAGTCATTATCAGAGCCGCAACGTACGTCTGTACCTTCGACAGATTTACATTTGCGTGACGGCCGTTTGGCGTTGAAGATGACACTCGGCTGTCTATATCTGTCCACTGTCACCGCTCCGCACCGGCATATGCGAGCGTGCGACACTTCAGATTTCAATTCGCCTCGCAAACAATACGACTCGTCGCGCGACAGGAAAGGATCCGCGCGCCTAGTCGAATTTGCATCTGCCGCTATCTCCCATTGTCTCGGCTAATTTCGCGCATCGCCCTAACGCTCGCCTCGGATTTCCCCGCTTTGGCAAATTAGCCATTCCCATACTGCGTAGTACTCCGTTCGAACACGGGGCTGAAGAGAAGAGCGCAACAACCCCTTTCGGAAGGGGTGTCTCGATTTTCCAATACAATGCTGCACGTGTGCGCGGTGTTTCACCGTCGAAGATGAAGTAATCTTAGATGATAATAGATGCACAAAGCAAAAAACGATGAATATTCACCATCATCTTTACGTCATCTTTAAATATACGCGTATAATACGGCAATGAAATACGAATGCGAATTATCTGACGCATATACAAGCGTGATAGTAAAACAAATCGATTTGGAAATATGACTAGCTTGAAAATAATATTTCGAAAAAAATAATATCTTAGGAAATATAGATAAAAAAGAAACACAGGACAAAATATGATTTCGTACTCACATTTCGTATTTACTTTGAAGGAGATCGTTAATGGGACCCAATAAGCAATTGCATAGATCCAAGTTCCACATCGCTCTGTGAACAAAAATACATACTGACAATGAAAAAAAATTGCCTCATGAAATTTAAATCATTAGATAAAGCTTACGTACGGTTTTAATGTCAGAATACCCAAGAGATCCACGATGATTGCTAAGTCATTCATCGCGACCGCAGATTCCACCGCGGCCTGAAATTAACACATAACGTTATATTTCCCATGCAATTGTATCTTTCGACGCGGAGATGGAGTAAATGACTACCTTGAGATCTTTGTTGTGCCAAAGGGAATATATGATCTGTAATGAGCGATGCCGACTTTTAAGTACCGCCATCATCGAATCATGGCTGCGCATCATGCTATTCAACACCTCGGCCTCCGACATTTCCGTCAGCACGCCCATTTGAGAATAACCTAATGATGTGGAACCAGTGTAACTTTGCTGCAAAACACAAGTATTTTTTCACATAAGAACTTAAAAACATCTCTCAACATCACTTTTATAAAGATAAAATAAAAATATTAATATATAATTAATCCGAAGTTAATTAATGAAAAGAAATATCATTAATTATTTAAAAAACAAGAGTAAACTTGGCATATTGAATTTTGTATTATATTTCTGTATTGTATTATATTTATTGGTTTTTGTATTATATCTCTACATTAAACTTCTTATTAAAATTAAAATTTTTTCGAATTTCAGTTTAGATCTCTGACGTTATATTAATATTTGGCATACGTGTATTTATGGAAGGTTTTTTTTTTTTTTTAAGGGTAAGACTTACCGGTAGGAAATTTTCTACGTCCAAACCGTAAGGTTTGTCGGCGCTCATCGGCACTAGTTCGTCCTTGTCCGTCTCTTCGACGTTGTTTCTTATCTGCGAGATGCGCACGTCGACCTTGGGATTCGGCGAAATCTGCGCCTTGTTAGGTGTCTTTTTCGTGGATAACGTGGTTGTGGAGGTGTTGCGCGCCGACAGCACGGTTGAGGTAGCAAAGTTTCGATTGAGCGACGTCGACCTCGACTGCGCGGTATTCGGCCTGTTCAGTGCGGGATCGGATGGACTGTGCCTTATGTTATTAATTCTGCGAGATAAATCATTCAGAAGATAAGCGTTATAAAATGTTACGTTTTTCTCCATAAAATTAATTAATTTTTACATGCATTAAGATACTCTGCGACACTAAAAAATCATATCCTTCTAAGGATTTTAGAATTTCAAGAAATATTATGTGGCCCTAAAGTATATAAAAAAATCTTCATTAATTTCTATTCAAAAATTTATATCTACATATATTCCATATTTCCATACTTTTAAAATAAATTTTTGTGTTAATATCTCGTAGGGATACTTACTGTACAGGATAATCACTTTCATATCCCTGCTGTTCTCCGTCTCTGCTGTTCTGCCTTTTCAGATAATACTTCGGAGAATCCGGGCTAGGTACTCTATTCTTTAACTTGCCGTCGTCCATCACGGGAATCACCGCGGCCATCGGCGCGACGCGCGGTGTCAAGGTCGAGTTCGATCTTTGCGGTCCTAAGGGTGCCGCCGGCACTGCTTGATCGGTGGTGCTTACTCTTTTGCCCGGAAGTGGTGTAATGCTCTGCCTTAACGGTGGTATGGACGCGCAGTTCTTGGAGGCTCGTTGGTTAAGGCTATTGTTCGCCTGTAGATTTGCCCTGATCTGGCTCGTTGATGTGATCGGATTCCTCTGAATCGGCGGCGACGACTTGATTGGCTGAACGCGTACCGGTACCGGTATCGGCTTCATTAGGGATAACGTGGGCGCCGGAGGAGGTGGCGAGGAGGGTAATGAAACCGGTGGCACTTCCTCGCGTTCCATTGTGCTCAGGTTCGACATTGAGGTAGAGAGATTTCGTAATATCTGCGGCTGCGTCGGATCTAAAAAAGATCAACAATGTCGATGTTTGCTTACTCTCTTTTAAGAAATTCGGAAATTTTGGAAACAAAGTAATATCACTAAGTATTCAAATAAGTCTAAAGCATAAATCTTAACAAGCTGGATAGTTTTTCTAGTAAATTTTTAATAGAAAATTTCTTCACATTTTTAAATAAATCTTTCTTCAATCTTTAAATGATTTAACTGAATTTTTTTCCGCGTAATATTAATATTTGAACATCCACAAAAAAGTATTCAGATGTTGTTATAGTAAAATTCATACTTATTCCGTCAGGATTTATATCGTTTAGTAATCCGTGCGAAGGTTATTGCACAAAACTCACCTATATCATGAGGCTCCTGGAAAGCCTCGGAGAATTCGGGAGGTGGTGTGCGAGACACTGAAACATATCATGCGCGGCATGCTCATTCAAAAACTATGCATTCACATTTAGACGTACTCGATACGTTTGTGTATGAGACACTCTGTGTATCTAGTGTGTTTATTAGTCGTATATCCGTTAGTGAATCGTGAAGGATTAGATTAGACGTTAGAATAGGAGAGGGATATTTTTGTCACAGACTCGACGAACAATGAGACATTACAAGACGGATGTAGCAAACCACTTACATGCCCTACTCGGCTGGAAAATGTCCCTGTAGTCGGTTACGTTGGGTATATCCGCGTAGGTAGCCTCATCTTCCGGATCCGTGCCGGATTTGTCCGCCTCTTCTATCGTTCTTACATCCAGTCTTTAAGCGAAAAAAATATATATTATAGCGAACTCAATTCACCGAATGTAACCCCGAATTCGAATTTTGTAAAACGTACGTATGCTTTTTCAATCCGATCGGTCGTTCTCTGGAGAAGCTCTTTCTCAGAGAATTTCCATGACTGAACGGCGAACTGACGGCAGATATTCCTCCTAATGGTGCAATTTTCTTTAAGTCACACACGTATAAAATAACATTCGCGGTGTGGAAACTCGCGCCGATCTGAAACAATTTTATATCTCAACATAAACTATACTGCACGTAAAAACGATAGTTTGATGTATCTCGTCGTACCAATTGATTTTGAGCGACGGCTATGTCTTGGACCTTTCCCCAGCCGGTGGGTATCGTGTCCAACGTTCTGCCTGGTTCCCAGCCATAAACTTTTAAAACGTCATGACTACCAACGAAGAGGCATTCTCCGCCTTGACTAAAGTACAGGCACCTAAAACATCGCGATAAAAAGATTAACCTGGCCATCAAGTCGTTATGTTGAAGGATTATTGTCGTTCTAACTCACCGTATGACCGAAGAACTCTGTTCTGTGGAAGATACGAGTTGAAATGACTCCAAGTCCCAGAAGTGTACCGTTCTATCGGCGCTACCGCTGGCTAATAGAAATTCGTGCGGATGAAACTCAACGGTTGTGGCCGGACCTCTGTGTTCTGAAAATTCCCTTAGTTGTCTACCGGCCTTTAGGTCCCACAGCTAATCGGAAAATAACACAGACGTCAGTGTCATCTTTTTCGCATATATATATAGAAGACAGAATTTAATTCACCTTAACCATTCCTTCCTCTCCAGTGCTGGCGATCCACTGTCCATCAGGACTGAACTTTAAGCTGTTCACAGTCCTATTGTGTCCCTTGTATGTAAAGATACAGCCTTTTCTGCGAATATCCCACAATTTAATCGCTGTATCCAAACTCCCGGAAGCGAGCAGTTCCCCGTAAGGGTGGAAGTCCATGCAACGTATTCCGGATTTGTGTCCTGTTAGTGTGCGTGCTAATTTGGCATGTTCCAGATCCCAAATCTTCAACGCACCTGTCTGTGAGCCAGCGCATACAAGATCTTCTGTTTGGCCAAAGCGTACGCATTCTATGGGAGTGGTATGGCCACTCAGGCTCTAAGAAAAAAAAAAAAAAGAGACAGGAATTGCTTTATTGATATTGCTGTACAATGTTTTATGTATTCACATTAAAATGCAAGCTATTTCAATGAATTTGGTGATGATAACAAAATTATTATGCAATAATTACCATAATACAGTTCTGCTTTCCAACGGCCCATAGGTTTACTTTTTTATCTTCACCGCCAGTTACTAAGACACGACCAGATTTGTGGCCTAACGCCAAGCAATTGACATTTGGCGTATGGGCGACAAATTCCTCTGCGAGAAAAAAAAGAACACATCTCACATCGATAATATATATATATATATATATGCATGCTAATTCATTCGTATTAGCACAATAGAAGTGTGATAAAAATAAGATACATTTCTATTTTCATGAATAAGTGTAAACTTATATGCAAATAAGCTTATATATATATATATATATTTTTAATATTATTAACTGAAGAAAAGAGTAGTTTATTTATTTAATATATAATTATTTGTTTGTCAAATCATAGCTTTACGAAATTCTCTGTCCATACTAATTCAATATCAACACTTCTGCTTCTCTGATAAATAATTTCTCATTCTTGCTATATAATAAATTATTGACAAACAAATTATGATAATTTGAAAATGTCAATTGAAACAAATTACATAAACAAAGATCATTTGTTTTGGAATCCCATGATTAAAAAATTAAGAATAACAATTTCTACTATTTTTTTTCGCTAATTTTTTTTCACAGTCGTTTTTAACATTTAACGTTTTAAATGTTTAACATTTTTTTCTACATTATTTTTTTAAAAAAAGAAAAATCAACAAATTTTTTCGACAAATAAAAATTATCTGTCATTTGTAAAAATTAATTTTTGTCCACAGGGAATCAAATAGCGCTATAATTTAGCGTTTCGACTCCGTGCGAAGAAACGACCTTCTCACTCTCGCTGCGGGACAAATCCTTGATGAGCCAGTTATAACCATAATTGGAAGAAACCGCGAGTAGCAATCGTTAGCTAAGCTTGTATAAACAGAGACCGTTTATCCACGGAGAGACTGAGAAGAGAGCGAGTTTCCTGCAGCGCGTAGGAGGATACTCGAGGACGCGTCAGGGACGTTCGTTTTCCTGTGGACGATTATCTTACGGAGCTTCCAGGATCTCCTCGTGGACGAGGCCATCTTCGTGCCGCGCGCGCGGACTTATTTGGTAGCTGCGGCAGCTCGGGATTTCGGTTGACGCACGTCGTACGATCTCCTTTCGCGCGGACGTAACATGTTTATCAGCAGTAGCAGCAGCAGCCGTCTCTTCTCTTCTACTCGGAATCTTTACCTCTTCCTTTCGCGACCGGACACCGCGACGCGTGGCGTCGCGTCGCGTCGCCGCTCCCCCCTCGGGAGAATGTGGAGAGAAAAATACGTGACGTGTGTTCACGAGCGCGGAAAATAATCACCTCTCTCACTCAAGAAACTGCCACCTCTTATCGTCGTATATCATCTCTTGAATCTCTCACTATCTATTTGTCTTTCTCTCTCTCTCTCTCTCTCTCTCTCTCTCTTTCTCTCTCTCTCTCTTTCTTTCGTCCGTCTGCATGTGGGTAATGAAATGACGTCTCGAAAGATGTCCGAGATTTCACTAGATGACGCTAATTGAAACTTACCGGTTTTCGATAAAATAGCACGTAGAAAACGGTTAAGATAAATATATTTACTCTGGCAGAAAACAAAAACTCTTATAAATTATATGACAAGCTGACAAGCTTGTGCCAACTTGCAATAATCACGAAAAAAGTTTGACGTTTGATAAAGATGTTATTTGTTATAAAAGATGTGAACTTTATATACAATTGATGTAGAACAATATTGGACTGTGATAAATAATTAACGCGCTCCATTAAATAATAATTATGAAACCTGTGTTTACATTGTTATAAAAAACATTTATATTTTTTTGGTTGTCTATATAATTTTTTTAAATTTTAATAGGATATTAAATAGAAAGCTTTGTAAGTTAAGCTCACACTTAAGCTCACACTTGTTAAAATGACATCGATACTTCGTATGCATATTAGTTCCATAGCAAGTCGAAATTTTCCTTTTTCTAAAAGGGCTTACGCAATATATGTCCAAGGTCAATCTCCTCAGCCTCGTGTGCGAGAGTACTTCTACTACATTGATCATCAAGGCATGGTATTTTTCATTTCATTATATTTCTGAGTAGAAACTTTTGTCAATAATAAATGAATTAGTATTTCACAAATAATATTGGAACTTCTTGTTTACAGCTGTTTCTCGATGATGTTCGCATAAGGAATTTTACATCATGCTTTAAAGGTATTCAATAATGTTTATATTAATTGAACCATTATTCATATATGTATAAACTATGTTCCAGACAAGAAGTTTTTGGCGTTCTTCTTTAAGCATCTGAAAATTAATAATACTGGTCGTTACATGGATGATTTTCCATTTTTGTCTATCTGTGGTGTGGAAAGAAATTATGTGAGATGTGACGACCTACCATTGGTTTTTACAAAAGTGATCCAGAAGCATAATGTGGAAACTAATGCAGAGGAAGATTGGTTCAGTTATGCACATGCAGATGATTTGCTAATGGTAATTCTATAAATCTATATAATAAAATTATATTTTTTTATGCTTTGCTGTAATTTGTTATAGGTGCCATTTGAGCCGCAAAAATTGTTTATGAACGTTAATACGGGGAGAGTGTACCATCCTGCACTGGAAAAAACGGGTGGGATTGGCTTGGTGAGGTCGAATATAGCTATCGAATTCAGTGCTTTCTTCGATTTCGAAAACGGTCAGGAAAGCGCGCCGACACATTTCATGTGGAAAGATAAACGATACGAGCTCGATACAGTATGGTACAAAGACAAATTGACACAAGGAGTTAGATAAAAATAATGAAATTTTATTCATAATTTATAAAGAAACAAAGATTCATATTCTATAAACTATTTTTTTAAATACATGCAAAAATATATATTTATATATATATTCCTAGTTGCCTATGTTTTATATTATGGACGAGATATCGAAGATCCTGGCGGTGGTATCGTCGGAAACTGTCAATATTTTTTTCTCATCACTGAAAAATATATATATTGTTAAATATCATGGGAAAGATCGAATATGTTGCAAACAAGAAAGTTTCGAAAATAAATTTTCAAGGCAACGATTAGAATAATTTTAAATGCTCGAAAATGTTGTACAATGACTTACTCGGATATACAGAAGTCAAGTATAGTCGCTTTGTGACCTGAGAATGTTTTGAGACAGCGACCTGCTCTTGCATCAAAACATCTTAATATACCATCTAGTCCTGCTGTAAACAATATTGATGTATTGGTCCAAACAAGTTTCGTAACACCTCCTTCTTGTGTAATTTCATGCCTAAGAATCTGAAGAAAAATCTCGATTTAGAACAGCTTTTGTTTTGAAAGGTAATATAATACTTATATGTAAACATATATAAAGAATATTATACTTGTTTAGAATAATCGCATATGTAAAGTTTTCCAGAAGAATTCTGTTCGATTGTTCCAACTGCAGCAACTGGGAACATAGGATCTTTACAAAATGCTATAGTTTCTATGCTAACACTATTTACATTATCTCCTTCACTAGTCTCTGCTTCGTCTTTTAAAGGATTTAAATCTTGAAGTATACAAGTTATCTGAAAAATATTTTAGCATATGAAGTTATTAAACTATGGATTAATCATTTATATAGAAAGCTTAAATTCCTCATAATCGACTAATTTGTAACTTTTATACACAAAGAAATGTTATTCAACTATTAGTAGGCTTGGAAACAGGAAGAGTTCGTGTTGAAATAATACTTTACACATATAGGATAGAGATACAATACGTACATCAAAAAGAATTTGTAGAAATTTCCTTTACCTTGCCATTATGTGCTGTGCTTAATATAGTCTTGCCATTTAGTGATGCTGAAATCAACAAATTATTATTCACATGACAGTCGAGGGCAGTGATAGCACTTGAGTGTCCATGTACTTCTGTTGGATGACAGGACATTGTAGAGAGTATGCTGTTTGTTTTTAAATCTATTACACGAATCGTGCCACTGTAGTATCCCACTGCAGCATGTTTTCCTACACAAGATTTAGATTTTAAACATGATATTTTGCTTACTAAATAAGTTTAAAAGTATATTTATTCTCCATACCATCGGGAAGAATTACACCAGTTTCTACTCTATCACCATATCCCTGCGCAAAGACTTTGCAAGCACCTTCCGGTACTTTAAACATGTGAACCCCTCCTGTTTCCAAGCCTACTAATAAGACATTAGCGGAATTGTGCCACTTTATCCACTAGAATGATTAAAAGAAGGATTATTAACAGATTGTTGCATAGATATGCATGGAGAAATATAAAACCTTATTAGTTAAGAACGCTTACCGTAATGTCGTCTAAAGCAGTCTCCCAAACACAAGCTTTGTCGCTTATCTGCCATAATTTTATTATGCCACTCATATCACCAGTAGCCAGGTACATATCATTGTAATTGAATCCAGTGAATATAACGCTATCTTTATGGCCGGTACATTCGAGAATAACTTCACCTGTGGTGGTGTTCCAAAGGTATGCCTTGTCCTCTTCACTTCCAGTCGCTGCCAGCTCGCTGTTTTTACTCAACGAGCAGCAGAACACTGAATGAGCTGAAATCAATTTTTTTAACATTAGCATAATGAGAGTCCCTATCTCTCATCAGTAATTTATCCCATTCGAAGATTGAAGTAGCTTCTTACTAGATGAATGACTGCGAAAGACATACACGGCATCATCTCTTTGCGAGGTATCCTCCATCTGATTGTCGCTGTCGTTTTCATTCACCGACATTGAATCTCCACTATCGTAATTATATCTCTCCTGCAGTTCGTCGATAATCTCGTCTACTTCTTCTTCTGAGATCATATCTTCGTCCGAGAAGGAATTCTTCACTTCGGGTGAAAGCGGCGGAGTATGTTTATCCATCTATTGGAAAATTATAATTAATCAAGTACACAAATTAATCGATTAGCAATAATATAAAATTGATATTAACCATAATAAGATTAAATTATTTCCGCGTCGTTTGAAATAAAATATTATAATACACGTGTTTTTCTTTCTTTTCCGGGTTTAAATGCCTTCAAGAAGTGGTTATGTAGCACAAGTCAGATTTTGACATTGACAATGTAATTTAGAGATAGACACTGATAGCCTTACGCGAGATCTGCCGAACAATAACGCCCTCTCAGACAATATCAGACAGAATAAAATTTAGAGGATTTCAATTGCTTGAAAATAAAGGATTGTGAAAATAATTTGACTGTCAAAAAATCTCATCAAAGTTTATTAGGTGAGTATATAACAGAGATAAAATATGAAATCAACTATTATTTCATATTTTAATTTAGATATAAAACGAATTAAGATTAATAATTCAAATCTGAAAAATAAAAAGCTTTGCTAACTTTCGTATCCCAATTCAGACTTATTCAAATATGATTTGACAAGAAGTGAAAATTATAAAAGGAAGCGACGTAACATTGCTAATTGTAATGACAAGTTCTTTTGTATGTTCACATATGGCACATTTACATTAGATAATATGTAATACTGCTGTAACAATCAGCGATGATGCATTATATGCATGATTATCTGAATATAAATGAAATTATCGATTATAATAAGCAACGAAATATATTTACAAATCCTTATATGTTTAAGGACTCTTCAGAACTCGGATGAGATAACGCGCTAGGTGGATTTTCTACACAGTAGAAGCCGTCTAACTGAAATTCGCTTAGATGTAAATTGCGAAGGACGTTTTTTTCATTAAATGCCTAAGTTTCATTTCATTATTCTGCCTTTAGCGACTTCTTCTCTTTTCTCTTGATAGGATTCTTCTTGCAATCATTGTAAATATTATTGAGATCAAATGCAGCCTTTACATTGTCCTGAAAGATAGAGACAAATAGATGAAGGAAAACAGAATTTTATTAGATAAATTATATAAGTTGGAATTTTAAAATTACATCCTTAAATAACACATACCAGCGAGAAAAGAAATTTGACAAGTTTTCCCTTGTGATCCGCGTACGGACGTCGTTCTACTTCCTTGCCATCTTTAAAGAGTATTAATGTTGGCAATTGTTTACTTGTACTGGCATCACTGACATGATACTTTGCTGCTGCATCTGGATATCTTCCAACATCAACTTTACCAAATTTGAAATTCTCCAATGCATATCTGTATAATAATTCTTGATGCAGCAATTCAACGAAATATTTTTTAATGATTAAAAAGAAATTGAGCTCTAAAGCACTTACTCTGCAGAGAGCTCAGAAAATATCGGGGCAAAAGTTACACAGGCTGGATTCCATGCTGTGTAAAATGCTACCAGCCAGACCACTCTAGTGTCACGTAATTCCTCTTGTAATCCATTGGCTCCACGTAAATAGATTACATTTTCAGGCCCTTGATATGTTGGTTCTGGCAGCACCAATCCGCACACTGAGTAAATGTGATATGTTACTTTTGACAAAATAATTTATAATGAGACTTTAGTGTTTCATTTTATCTTACGTATGAAAATAAATGCGAATACAATGCCCATCCGCACATCTGCATAGAACCATAGGATCAAGTTTGCTATTTTTGTATACACAAAACTAGATGTCAAGTAATTTATCATGGTCACACTGCCAGTCTTCCTTGTCCTTATCATGATGACGATCATAAGAAAGAAGAGAATTTCCGTCTCCCTCTATAAAAGGATTTATTAACAAAATATAATTAAAGATATCGCTGATATTATAATGAAAATAGATTGTTGTACACTCACCCCATCGAGCTCGCAGTCATTTTGAGCAAATATATAATTACAGATTACAGGAATGCGCTTGGACAGGATATACGAGATACTGAGAAAAATATTTATCAAGTAATACGGTTTTGCAAGTAATCTCAGATCTTTTTTGAAGGACATTTTCGCGTAGTCAAAATTGAGAAATTACGGCAGCAGGTTACTTTGAGATGTGTATCGAATTAGCATAAAATATTATCACACGATTTTATTGTACGAATTTATCTCAGGAAATCACTCGTTCCTTTTCCTCGACAATTCCTGAAAACGCGAACATTAACCCGCGCACATAATAAGAATCAGTCAGCTGTTTTGTGTCAGCTGTTTTGCGTGATCATGTATAAGTGGGCGGGAGAGGTATCGATAAATTTTGCTCAAACGAGTCAAAATGTAAGATCGCTGTCACAATATATAATTAATTTTTGTATATTATTTGGTCGTATGTATAAATAAGAACGTTACACAACTCGACACCATACACACACCGCGATGTGTATTATACTTGTATTCGTGAACGTTGTGTGTAGTTTCCGAGACTAAAAATATGTGGGATTAAGGAAATGAGGTAAATTAGAGTAAAGCGAAAATTGACGTAATGCTGAAGAGGGAATGATAATGTGTAATATTTTGTAACAAAAGTTTAATGTACAGCCGACTGACATCCATATTGTGGAGCCATCGGGATTAGACGAAATGTCTTTATTGTGAAATTTCCCTTATTTTAATAACATGTACATTGTTCAAATACATTGAATGAGATTTTTATTCTGCGTGCATATGACATTAGAAAAAGAATAGGAATTGAGAAAAAATTTTGGGACAAAGGAAATGCTTGCTCCTTCAATAACTTTGAAATAGAGAAAATCAACGCAGAGAAGAAATTTTGAACACAATATAGGATTGTCTAGTAATGCATACTTTCAGGACACTATATATATACTTTTAAATATGAGTCCAATGTTTTTACACGGTTCAATTGGAAAACATTTTGGAATTATATTATTATCGTCAACATGATTTGTAATTATAAACATCTTAGGACAATGTATGTATTAAGGATATAAAGATAATATAAATTTTAAAATATAAAAGATTCACAGTTCTTTTGATTGTCTACTAGTAACAATACACATTATTGTAACACTAGAATAATCTTATCTAATTAGTGCAATATATATAGCATGTAAATATACTCTATTTATCAAAGATATTTTCTCTCCACTTTCTTTTGTACATAGTTCATGCTGTATCTAAGACCATATAACATACATTTCCAGAGATTGCAAGAAGGATGAAGCTCGCCGATTTTGTAGGGATCTTGTTCCTCTTTGAAGCTTGTTTGCTCAGTAATGCATTTGACAAGACTGATACTAACAATAATCCCTTGTTACCTGTGGTAGTGATCACCTGGGATTATACAACTGTAGCGACAAAAGGTATATTAATATATTTCAACATGAATTTGCCAAGAGAAATGAACGGCGATTTTGTGTAAAATCTCTGACAATTTAAAAACATTCTTAATTATAATTTACAAGCGTGGGACCTGATTTATAATCAGAAGAAAAGTGCTCTAGACACAATAGAAGAAGGATGCACTCTATGTGAGACGGAACAATGCAGAGGAACCGTAGGATTTGGTGGCAGTCCGGATGAGTCTGGAGAAACTACATTGGATGCTATGATTATGGATGGGTAATAAAAGCAATCACAGACACATCTCTTCTTATTTAATTAATCTGTATCAATGATATTCAAGAAATATATTTCTTCGACAGAGTGACAATGGATGTAGGCGCAATAGCAGGATTACGGAACGTAAAGAGCGCTATTTCGGTGGCTCGCAAGGTGCTGCACCACACAAAACATTCTTTATTGGGTGGAGAACTGGGTACGAAGTTCGCCGTCAAGATGGGATTCAAGGAAGAATCTCTAACGACAAATGAATCCTCGCAGATGTGGACGCAATGGAAAACAAACAACTGTCAACCCAATTTCTGGAAGGTACAGGAAGAAGTCAAATTTTTTATCATTATTTCGTTGATTATTCGATATTCTCATTATTTTTAGAATGTTGAGCCGGATCCAACGACCAGCTGCGGGCCGTACAAGTCAAAGAACATACAAGACAACGATAATAGTTACGAAGAACACATGTTCGAAGGAAGCGAGGAAAATCACGATACAATCGGTATGCTCGCGATAGACTCGCAGGGACGTACGGCAGCTGGTACTTCCACGAACGGTGCCAACCACAAAATACCCGGCCGCATCGGGGATTCTCCTATTCCAGGAGCTGGAGCATACGCCGATCAAGAAGTTGGCGCGGCAGCTTCTACTGGCGACGGAGATGTTATGATGCGGTTTTTACCGAGGTATTTATATTAATACATTTTCAGCTTTATTGAGCTAATTTCTCTAAATTCACAATTCTATTTTATCTTAATTTTTAAATTTTATATTTCGGTGTCCCTCTATATATCTTATAATATAATTATATATATATATATAATAATTTTAATCTATTTTATATATGTTACTATTACCATATATATATATTTAGTACATAAAATAAAAGCTAATACTTTTTATAGTTTTTTGGCAGTAGAGGAGATGCGTCGTGGAGCAACGCCGTATACAGCTGCCAGAAAAGCGATTAATAGGATCGCTCAGCACTATCCTACCTTCTTCGGTGGGATAATCACCGTGAACAATAGAGGAGAATTTGGAGCTGCGTGTAACGGAATGAAAGATGGATTTCCATTTTATATCGCAAATTCTTCGGGGAAAAGATTGCTTTCAGTTGAATGCACTAATTATAAGGTACACTGCTACAAAAAAGATGCAAATTGCTGATTTACATTTAGTTTGTTTAAGCTTCAAAATAATACAAAGTAATATAGAATAAGCATTTTTAATGATGTTACTATAAAAAGATATAAATACTATGTTAAACTATGTTAAACTTATAAATATCTGAGCAAGCATTTGTATAAATTCAATGCAAGTATTATGAGTGGTATCATGATACATTGTATAACATATGTAAAAAAAAAAATACAATATAAATCCATTTTATTTCACATCTTAATTTATTTTTCTATATCTTCTTCAAACAATATTTTATAGAAATAGAATATACAAAAAATAATAAAAA